CTGCACGTGGAATCGAAAATCCAAACCTTCGAGTTTTTTCTAATCAAGCAATGATTTACAATCAGCACCTCAGCCCGCCTTTGGGAAGGTGCTCTGCCAAATAAGGGCTAGTGTGCAGTAGATACTTTTCAGCAGCGTCGCTCAGGGTATTGGAATCAAGGTGAGCAGCCCATGGCACTCTAGTGATACATCCTGTTCCGAGGAAGCTCTTTCATTCGAAGACGATCCACTACGTGGAGTGCCATGGGTTGAGAGAGAGTGAACTCTCCTGTCGCTTTTAATACATTATGAGGCGCCATTTGTACTGCCTAATTCTCTTGTAGTGCCATCGTTCTATGATGCAATATGAGAGTATCGTATCCTAACCGACCCTCCTAAAAATGAGCCTCTTGAAGGGCATGCAAAACAAGGAATAGAAGCCTTGAAAGTAGCGAGAAAAGGAGCGGAATTGCTGATCGGTATCGAGTTCCACGCCCCCTAAGGGAGCATGTTTCCAAATTCCGATTGAAACATATGTTCCGGAAATCATCAGCTTCTTCTTCTTATTCTTTAGCGTTTGTCCCGCTCTGTAGCGGGGTCCGCTCTCCTGATTTTCTTACGCCATTTATCCCGGTCGAATGCCTGATCAGGGTGGGCACCAACTATCTTTAAGTCCGCGTGCAGCGTGTCAAGCCAGCGCTGCCTAGGGCGTCCTTTAGGTCGTTTGCCGAGCACCTCAAGCTGGAGAGCAGTCTTACGGACGGTGTCCGCCTTCGCGCGAAGTACGTGGCCATACCATCGGAGACGAGATTCTCGCATTTTATCAACTATGGAAGCTACGCCGAATCTCTTGCGTATGTCATCGTTGCAAATCCGATCCATACGCGTGACACCGGCCGTCCAGCGAAGCATTTTCATCTCCATCACACTAAGACGGGCTTCGACTTCTTTGGTTGCAGGCCAGCATTCAGCTCCGTACAACGCTACTGGTCTGACCACATTTCTATAAATCTTCGATTTTGGATCAGTTTTGATTCCGAAGCTATGGGAAGGGAATGAAACGTCTCGGTAATAAAGGTAGACCCTTTGATACCTGAGCCAGCGGTCGGGGTTTGATCCTAAGGCGTTCAAAGAAGCGAACAAAGGAGAAAGGGAACGCAAAACTTTCCGGTCAAACGCACGTACACACGCCGACGGACAAGACTGGATTGTAGATTTGTATGAGATGTTGATTGCAGACTTGCGGATTATACGTAGTAGCATATGGCCCATGCATAGGATGTTGCTGAATGTCTCCCTCGTCATACATGTAGAATAACTGTAAAAGGATCGCCGATTTTTCCGGACTCCCCGCCGAGATGTGGGAGGAGCGTCAGCAGAGAAATCAGCCAGTTCTGTTTTTCTTACAGGACGACGATGTAACCGTTCTGCTAGCATTAGGGTTACCGCCAACAACTCAGAAGATGTATTGTTGGACTAGTTTAGGTTTTGGCTGTAAAAACTTCCTGAACATTGGCCTGTAGGCTTCTGAACATATGGTGCTCATTTCTCGTTACCACTTGCCATGTTGTATAGTCAAGTGCTATGGGATAACGTGAGGAATATAACGATGTCAATGGGTTGATGCGATTCAATGCACATGGAATCGAAACTCCAAACCTTCGAGTTTTTTCTAATCAAGCAATGATTTACAATCAGCACCTCAGCCCGCCTTTGGGAAGGTGCTCTGCCAAATAAGGGCTAGTGTGCAGTAGATACTTTTCAGCAGCGTCGCTCAGGGTATTGGAATCAAGGTGAGCAGCCACTACGTGGATCGTCTTTGAATGAAAGAGCTTCCTCGGAACAGGATGTATCACTAGAGTGCCATGGGTTGAGAGAGAGTGAACTCTCCTGTCGCTTTTAATACATTATGAGGCGCCATTTGTACTGCCTAATTCTCTTGTAGTGCCATCGTTCTATGATGCAATATGAGAGTATCGTATCCTAACCGACCCTCCTAAAAATGAGCCTCTTGAAGGGCATGCAAAACAAGGAATAGAAGCCTTGAAAGTAGCGAGAAAAGGAGCGGAATTGCTGATCGGTATCGAGTTCCACGCCCCCTAAGGGAGCATGTTTCCAAATTCCGATTGAAACATATGTTCCGGAAATCATCAGCTTCTTCTTCTTATTCTTTAGCG